GCAACTCCAATTCATCCTCTCCAAGGTAGTCCTGGATTTCAGGATGAATAGAAGTTGGGTACTGAATTTTACATTCTGAATGAGGCTAAAAGCAAACTGAATATTGAGAAGATCAAATCTATGGCATCTGTTCTTGGTAGTCTGGGTCATCACCAGAGACAATTGGAAGTACTCCATTCCTGCTTCCTATCAACTTCCTTCCCCTTTTCTTTGTCTTCCTACTCCTGCGGATATGTTGGAGTCAAAGAAAAATTGGGGACAGAGTGAGAAGAGCCTCAGATGTTGGGGAATGGAAGAAACAGTAGCAAAGTCTGAGTTTCAGGTCTCCAGGAGAGATGGATCTCATCCAAAGATAGGGTCTTATCGAGAAAATGGAAAGGCCTCACTATGTCTGAAATCTCCAGTAGCACTATCCTCAAGACAGTTGCAACATCACCATCTGATGGAACTTTAGGCAATCCGTAAGATCAAATCAGTCCAAAATAGTTACTTAGATTAAATCTCCAACAAACTGGTTCCTCTTTGTCTTTTGATGACCTTTCCTCCCATTCCACTCATGGGAGCCACTTCTAAAGGTCCATTCCGCCCTTCTGTCATCCACACGGCCCCCTCCCCTGCCAAGTCTGCGGGTGGGTGGAATGGGATGGCAGAACAAACAGGTTTGGGTGTGGTATGGTTCTTGTCAAAGGGTCCCAGTCACTTGTTTTTAATCTTTGCTTTTATGTCTCAAAAGGAGGATGTACAACATGTTCTGAAAATCTGAAGCCTCACACAATGTTTTCCCCTTTTACAAACAGATCAGTCAGTTGAGTTTCTTTTCCTACTTGTTTTTGCCACAGATCTGGGACCCTAAAGAGAGAGACTGTAGGATATTTCTGAAATCAATACAATAGGTGCTTCACAAATATATGTTGGATAAAGAAACACATCTAAAAATTTAATAGCCTCCTAGAAGCTCATTTAGCATAGTTACAGGTTAAAGATAAGGGAAGAATGATGATACCCCAGGGGAGGGACTGAAGCCGACTTACAGTGTGAGCTTAGTTCTAATTCAGACTGACATTCATTATATGAGGAAGGCTAACAAATACTGTACTTTAGGTAAAATCATTAGTCCAAGGAAGCTACCGTATTTCCTTCATATTAAATAAGGATTTATATTTATTTGAAAGCATTCTGTATAAGGCAATAGGTCTTAAGATTTTGGGGGTTATAAATTCTTTTTGGGAACCCAAGAAAAGCTATGGACTCTCTCCTGAGACAAAAATGCACATTCAAAAAAACTATTAAAGAAAAAAAAAACAAGAAACTTTGTTCCTGAGTACCCTGAAGCTCATTCATGGACAAACCTGTATCCCAGGTTAAGAATTTTTATAAAGGCGAAGCCCTTGAACAGTGACCTTCAGGGTCCAGAAGAGGGCTTCTGGGGGAAAAAAAAAAAATAAAAGGTTTATTTTAAGGTTTAGAACAATAGACTCCTATACAACATAATCACAAATTCCATCCATTCCAAGAGACTGAATTGAAAGAAACAAATATGCACATGGAGCTGCCCCCTCTCTGTGGAGGTAATGGAATTTTCATGCACACCCCACAGGGCAGAAGAATTCAAAGGCGCTTGTTTAAGCCAGAAGACCAGGAGACTCGAGGCAGTATTGTGGCCATATCACACACTGTGGTCACATCCAAAGAGATACACACAGTAGGTTCACTGTGCTCAAACACATTAAACAAAGCAAAGATACGGGGCTGTGCCCTGGAAGTCTAACATGAGCTTAAGATATTTCCTAAACAAATTAGAAGAGGAATTACTGTCATTAATCACTCTCTGAATCCCTAGAATGTTTTTTCTTGGACCTAAAATTTAAGCTGATTACCAGTCATTCCCTGAGATGCAAAGGATTGGGGAGGGGGGGTAGAAACTTGCAAGAGAAAACAATTCATATCTTAGTTGTCCTTTCTGACCCCTCATCTCCCCTCTCCCCGGCAACTGCTTCCTTCCCCTAATAGTTTCCTCCTTGCAATGGCAGAAAAAAAAAAAAAAAATACTGAACTTTCTAACTGAGCCAATTTCAAATTGCCAAACTGGAATCTGGAAGGTTGCTTTTTGAGATGCTTTTGTAGCCAAACAGATGTATTTCTAAATTTTACTTCATTCACTGGCTTCTCCTCCACTATATTTAGGAGTCAATGCTCATTTTCTTATCATTTTCCATTTCATTGCTTTTGTTTCACATTTGAGTAACTGTAGGTCAAATGTACTCCAGACTCTTCTGTTGAAGACATGTTAAAATCAAGTAGAAACTGTATGATTAATGACATGAATCATCTGTATTTTTTAAAAACAGGAAAGTAAACAAGTGCTCCATGAAGCCCCACCTGCCTTGCTGCTGTTGTGGTACTGGGCCTATCCTGAGGAATACAATTCCCCCTTCTCAAGTCTGAACTAAAATTAGGCTCCACCTGCAAGATGTTAATGAAAACTTACACAGCTGCATTCCAGAAACAAGTTACCCAGATTGCTTTTGGAGAGCTCTGTGTAAAAGCAAACTTGTTAGCTCATTGTCTAATTCCCGAAATGTAGGATTAATTTTAATGGTAATTATTAGCACAATAACCAGCTGATAAGTAATCTCAAAATAGATCCAATATTATCACATAGGAAATATGCTGTAATTTTATCACACATCCTGCTGGGTTTAACCCCTTACTCACAAATGCATACTTCCTGTCTCCTTTTTGGCATGTGTGCTCAAACGGAAGACGGGAGAAAAAGTGAAGTCACTGGAATGGTCTGCAAACAGTTCCAGTTAGCACGGGGCTCCCCTTAACCGCATGCGGCTTAATGGGAAGAAGAATGTGAAGCACATGCTTGCTTCCTTTGCCCTTGATTCCTTTTGCAGATTCTCGAGCTTTCTTTGGAAGAGGAGCCTCAAATCAGAACCAAATCACCTCAGACTCACAGCCACCCTTTTCTTGCAGATTTAAGATACAGTGGCAGTTGATACATTCTCATCACAGAAGGTGGTCTCCCTGTTCCATTTCCAGGTTAAGTCTTCACTCCATTCTGCAGGCCAAAGGATTCAGGTGGATCCCCATTACTTTTCCAGATCATACAATAGTGCTTACCCTCAGAGAGAGAGAGAGAGATGTTACAGTTTAATTATTTACTAAATTGTGCGTGTCAAAAACTAAAGAACTGGCATTTGGGGATGGAGGATCTCTGCCTTTTAAAAACCCCAGTCTTGAAAAAAAATTCCGCTTCATCATTTCCTTTACTTGCAATTTAGTCTTATCAAAGGATCAGGAAATGCCTGCAGTTGTTCTGATTTGATCTATGTTCCCGATGTTGCATGTTATCCTATAGATTCTTAATATTTTCACAATTATACCTTCGTAAAGGCTCTTTGGAACACTTTTTAAAAAATTGTTTTGAAGTCAAATAGGCCCAATTAGACCTTGAGCAGCAAATTCGGTTTCTGTCAGAGATTAAATAATGAAGAAAATAGCAATGCTAACAAGCAGGAGGCTGCCTTGCATTACCCTATCTGATTTCATTAGCCTAATTCACGCTTATTAATTATTGGTCGGATGAGATCATCGATGTAAGTATGCCAGCCTCATGATGGTTGCATTTGGGGAATAGTCAGCCTCTTTCAGGACTTCTCCATAGTCCTCAGATGATACTCCCATTTCCATTTCAGGCTGCTGCCCTATTCCATAAATGTATCTGAACCGCCTACGAAAGCAACACTGCCAGAATACACATTTTGTTTACTACACAGCCCTGCTTGCAACTGTCAACAAAGAAATATAAAAGGAGGTTTAAGTTTTCATTCCTAGATAGTGAACTCCTGTGTGTTTCTACAATGCAGGTCATTACGGACTCGGCTGCCCCCTGAGACTGAGCAGTTCCCGCGCACGTTGTAACAAAGGGCTGCAGGTCTGGCAGTGTGGGAGTGGACTGGGCCTCTTAGATAAGTTTCATTCACGGTAGGAGCCCACGGGAACTGCACAGCCTCAGTTCACGGTGTAACTTTACACTATTTTCCCTTTAAGTCACTACTAATCCCTTGGGTTTACATGTTTTGGGGGCTGCATCCGAGAAAAGCAGTGTGAAATTGCCTGAAAGCCTCCTTATAAATAAGACTTACGATATAGACCAGCTCTGTTGATGAAAAGACCGAGAGAAATGCCCTTGAGGGCCCCAAGAGCCATTTTACAAGGCTCCCACTGTGATTTTTTTTTTTTTTTTTTGGTCTCTATCTGACTGGCAAAAAGAAATTACTAACTAGGTTAAAAATGTCACTGGCCCTAAATTCAGTAAGAAACAAAGCCTAGCATTAACATAAATCCCGTCTACATATTTACTAATATTGCTTGTTTAAACTTGATCTTGTCTTTCTAAATGATAATCTTACTCCTTTTGACAAAGAGGAGAAAGCAAACAAAGCAGGAAATCGGGATGTCACAGATGAGAATACTGGCCTAAGTGTCCAGGGGCTCTGCATTTGCTTCCTGAAGGATGTGCAAAGCACCAGTGTGGGTCATTTACATGCTTCATTTTCTTAGGTCAAGTCTTTGAAGTATTACTGTTCCATTTTAAAGAGGAGGGAACTGAGGCCAGTAAATGGCAAACCCATTCATTTAGCATGGGAGTGTCTTACTTCAAAATGATCATGCTGCTCTTGCGGCCAATCAGAGACGCTAGAGGAAGAGTCCCTACCAGCAAAGAGGATATGGAGAGACGATAGAAAAACCTCTTCCCTCATTGTTCCCTTGGGTTCTTCAGTATCACCAGTGGATCTCTCCTGTTCACTCTTATGCTTCTGGAAACTGGTCTGACTTCCTACCCTGTTCCTTTTATGAAAACACTAACTCCTCTTACTCCTCCCATTTCCTAACACTCCATCCTTTCCACTCCACCCTGCCACCCTTCGGTTTTCCTACTCTCTCAATCCTCCTACAAACAGCGATTTGGAAACAATTTCGAGGTCCACCTACTGTCTTGTGCATCTGTCTTTTGTAGTTTAGAGGTTAGGGACTGTGTGTTTTCTACTTGTCATGTTTATGCCTCATACTCTGTGGGTACCTAATAAATGCTGAATAATAGCCGCTTTAAGACAGTGCAGAACTGGAAACACAGGTTCTTACGTTTAGTATTTCATCACCAGCAGGGAACATTTGTTCACTGTCAGCACTATGCTAGGCACTAAATGAAGTTAATTACTGAGGCCGACCTCCTCCAAGACGTTTTCCTTTTCTCTCCTATTTTCTTTTTCTTCTTCTTTTTTAAAAAGATTTTATTTATTTATTTGACAGAGAGAGAGAGAGAGCTCAAGCAGGGGGTGTGGCTGGCAGAAGGAGAGGGAGAAGCAGGCTCCCCGCAGAGCAGGGGGCACCTGATGTGGGACTTGATTCCAGGACCCCAGGATCATGACCTGAGCCAAAGGCAGACACTTAACCAACTGAGCCACCCAGGCGCCCTCTCTCTTACTTTCTTGATCAAAAAAAAAAAAAAAAAAGTTGCCATTGAATCTTCTCGTTAAAATCCACAGCATCCTAAAGATAGAGGTACTTTTTTTTTTATGTTTATGGTAATTGCATGGAAATAAGAATTTTGGGAAGAATTAAGTTTCCAATTAAAGAACGCAAACCCTCACCCAACAGAAAAAAAATTATACTATATTAAAAAGTAGAGAAACTCCCTTTGGGCAAGGGGTAATACTAGAAGACATGAATTTAATGACACCAAGAGTGCCTGGATCCTAGAAAAAGGTTGCCAAACACATTTGTTGGCTCTGTTGTTGGTAAGAATGGCTTCTCTGAATCTCAGCACAAGGTAAGAATCGTTTCCACACCAACTGTTGAAGCCTAGGTTATCAGTCCAAATGGATGGTGGCCACTGGTCCTTGGAACTTCACATTCTATCCCTGCTGCAGCATGGCTGACCGTTCTCCAGGAAAACAGCCTCTACCGGGGCTGAGCTGCTGCCGCCACCAGCTTTAAAACTCCGCACTGCCAAGCACCATCCTTCAGCACTTCAGAACCCAAAACCTCAAGGCACGCCAGTGCTCAGCCCTCGAATACTCAGCTGCTGGGGAGTTTGATCACACGCTGGCCACCCCTCACTAATTTGCAACCTGGGTGAATAGAGAAATTAAAGGTCTCTGTTCAGACCAACTCACTTCAGGGCAGAGGTACTTTTTGTAGAAAGGGGAACCAAGGTACAAAGTGTGCTGAATGAGAACTCTTTGAGAGTCGGTGATGAAGCCATATATAAACGTCAGTTTGCTGTTGCATGCATGTCCTGTTTCCCTTGGTGCTTGGCCGCAAAGGGAAAGAATAGACTATCTCAAATTTGTGTTTTCTAAGAATAATAAAAATACCTCTGTGTTCATGCTGTGTCTAAACAAGCAGAGCAAATTGAGACATTTCAATGTGAGTCAATTTAGGCCAAAGATACATTTTTGCTTGTAATATCAATATAATTGACTCAAAAGTTATTTATTTTGTTTTTTTTCTTTTTTTAGACTTCCCTAAAAAATGATCTCAATTCCATTTCTTTTGGTCCCCTGTATGGACAGAGGCTACAAATATACAGTAAAAATAAGAAGGCACTTGCAAAATCGGGACGTTAATTCATGAGCAGACCTATTGTAACATCATCGATTTTTTATTATTGTTCCCAATCATTAATTCAGTAAATATTTATCAAATACTACCTATCACATTCTTGGCTCTATGCTGTACAGTGGAGCTCATAGTCTAGTGTAGAGACAGACATGTAAACAAGTAATTAATAAAATATGGTGTGGTATAATGGAAATAAGTCCTACAGGAATGATAAATTCTTCCTATGTGCTCTGAGAAGGTGACATGTGGGAAATGACATTTCAGCTGTGTCTTAAAGATGAATAGTTGTCCACTGTCAGAGGGTGGGAAATACATCATAGGCAAAGGGAACAGCAAGTGCAAAGATAGAAATCCATGGGAAAGGATAGTATAGTGAATTTATTACATAGCGTATATGATAAGTAGAAGTTGATGTTGAACTACCTAATCGTAAATGCCTCTTTTATCACTCTAGGGAAATTAAATTCTGTTTTATGGGCATCAGGAAGTCATGAAGAGTTTTAAGCAGAAAATAATATAATTATATTTATTCTACTAGAAAGAATTCTGCATAAAGAATGGGTTGGCAGAAGTTGAGTCTTAAGTAAGAGTGAATTACATGGTCATCCTTTTAGTCAAGGCATAAGGCGATGAGGGTATTTCCTTGGGAAGTGTAAGAGAAGATGAAAAAGATGCAATGGAGAGAAAGGAGGTAGAAAGGAAGAACTTGATAACTAACACAACTAATACAATATGTTGGGAGAGGGAGGTTAACTTGAACAGTTGTCTAGATAGTGGTGCTCTTATGGGGAAATGATATTAACATGTTCTCGTCTTCCAAATATTTCAGGAACTGTAATGAGTTATTTCCATTTGTTAGTTTATTCAAATCTCACAATAACAATGTGACATAAACAATAGGCAGTTATATCAGTATTTTATATGGAACTCAGGACGGGTGAGACAGTTGCCCAGTGTCCCAACTAAAACACAGTAGAGTCGGGATTGGAATCCGCGTCTTCTAAAAGCCAGTGTGTTCACACTTTTCGGTAATCCTGCAGGTAGCATTAGTGAAATTTCCCTGTTAAAACCCTGATATGAATTTTGAATCAAAGTAAATCACAAATTTGACTGAGTGTTAGGACTTTCATTTTGAGTGAAATCATTTCTTTTTTCTAATACCAGACTATTTTATTATTTGTAATTTTTATATTTTTAGATTTTTTTTTCCTGCTAAACAACAACATAACAGAAAACAAACTTAAACTCCCATTAACTGGCTTATAGTAAAAAATTGACGTCTCTTTGCTAAGGAAAAATTTTTGCCATAAAGGGTTCTGCTATAGAGATGAGGCCTAATAACATGGGTAGAATAATGGGTTTTCAAATAGCTAATCACTTGATTTCAACTCACTAGAGATTTGACTTTCAGTATTTCAATATTACTGATTCAAAATACTTAGGAAAATATATTATCGAATAAAAATATTTCTATAGTTAGCTAAGCAAAAGCTTCTTTTTTCCTAACAAGCACGGTGGACTTTTATTTATTACATAATAGGTTATTAGATGGAAAAAAGAAATAAGCTGTGCTTTTTCATGCTGGGGCCACTTAATTTTCCTCAGTCATTTCCATTTCTCAGGTTATCTCATTCTGAGTACAGTGGATGTTGTATTTTCCAGTACTTTCTTTTGCTTTTGTGGCAATTGGGAAGGTATTCGTTTGCATGCACTAGTCACACCTGGCCTGAAATCTGTGAAAGAGAATAGGATGAAAAAAAAAAAAATGACATGGCCTCCAGCACTTTCTTCTTTCTTTCTTTTTTACTTTATTTATTTTTTTATTTTTCATATGAAACATTTTCCTGCAAGGATCTTCTATATACAGTTGGAAGATGCTTTTGATATGTAGATCAAGCAAAATGGTAAATACATAGCCCTCTCTTTTCAAACATTCCCTTATTCTACAATGTGCTTGTAGTGTCACTTTGTTTGATTTCCATAAGGCTTGCCCTTTGGTTTGTATTGTAACTTGGTATCTTTCCATTGTCCCTTACCACAAAAAATTCCTTTTAAGAAACTGCATTCAGAATGTAATCCATCAAGCTTTAGCTTCTCTTTCTCCTTCCTTCTGGAAGATTTAGTGACTAAGTCTTTGCTTTGATTTTCTTTCTCTGACTTTGAGGGTTCTCACTTTCTCTTCTAATTGTTACAATGTGGTGTCCCCTTTTGCTGGGGAGTAAACAAAAACAGAAACACTCAGTGAAGAGACAAACAGGCTCAGGAGCTCACGTGCCTGACTAGCTGATGGATGGCAAGGTCTGGCTGTCAGGAGCGAGATCTTCCCACCACACAACGTCACCTCGATTTCAGGATGCGCTCTCTGCCAGGCACCGTGGTAAGTGCTTTACCTGAGTTAGAATCCTCCAACCAACCTACAAAGGTCTTGTTATCATCTCCATTGTTTCAGATTAGGGAATTGAACCTGGAGGAGATGAAGTATCTTTCTCAAGGTCCTTCAACTAGTGAGAGAACTGGTCAGTAAACCCAAGTTTTTCTCATTTCAGTGCCTGAATTTAAATGACTAATTGGTATATTTTTTCATCTGAAATCCTCTTCATGCCACTGTAAAGGAGTTCTCTGAATTAAAGGAGTAGATTATCATTATACCATTTCTTGAGTTCTAATACTCCAGAGAATATATTTCCTCTGATGCCCGTGGACTTGTTAACAATTTTCTAAAAATAGGGAAAATGGAAGAGTTGCCAAGGTCACCCGTTAAAAGAAAAAGGAATGCAGAAAAGAAAATATAGAAACCTATATATTTTTTTGCAATAAATGAAAGTTAAAACTTGAGCCGGGGGTTAAGCATTAATTTTGGCTCTGATTCTCTATTGGCCTGTCTTATTTAGTTTCCTACAATAGTAAACAGTATGCAGAAATGCTCATTGGATGTGTTTTTTTTTTTTTTATTTATGTGTTAGTTTGAGTAGTACACTATTTTGCAAACTACAAATACTATTTGGAATGCAAATGGAGGTATCTTGACATACCAGCTATCCTATGAGCTATACATTGAGTATACATGATTCTATTTATTTTCAAGACAAGAGAGGTAAATGCTCCATGGATTTCTAAAAAATAAGAAAAACACCATTTAAATGGTTAAAATTTCCATATTAAAGAGATTCATTAGACACAAAGCATATTTTAAACTGTGATTTTCTTTTATCCAAACTGTATTCAAATACTAAATTTTGAACTATTGCCAGGGCTCTAATACTTTATAATAATCATTTACCTTAGGTTATTTCTTAAAAAGTCAATATGATGATTGGGTGATCTTAATGAATTCATTCACAATGCACTCATCCATAGTCATTGACAATTAGAAAGATTTAATTCAAGCATTATACACTACACCTTTATCATGAGAAAGCACTGGGTTATGCTCTTTTGGAAAAATAACAATAAAAATACATTTAAATAAATACATTAAATAAGAAATAAGTAATAAATAATGATTAGTGTTCCCCAGGAGCTCACCTTCTAGTACCAAACATATGTAGTTGCACTCCACAAAGATTATATAAAGGACTTATGTCCTGTGCATAATTCTGCTGTCAGAATACAAAAGAACAAGAGAGTAATTCCTACTAGAGGAATACAGATCTCCTAAAAGGGAAGGGATTTTACTGGTCTTCAAAACACGGATATGATTTTGATAGGTAAGTGTGACTCTGAAGACAAATGATGGGTACTTCAAGATCAAGTAGAATTCCTCTGTTTAAGGATGTCTTTGTCTCATTGAAAAACAAAACAGATACATTTCTTGAAAAAAGATAGGTGTTTGTGTCTTGAAATGAAATTTTGAAGGGTGGATATCTTTTGTTTAAAGGACAGAAATAAGATATTTTTTCTCTCATTATGTGAAATAAATAAGGGTAAAAGCTGGAAAATTATAAAAGTCACTTGATTAAGTGAGGCAAGCAAATAAATGCTTTCTCAAGGTCTCAACTCAGTGTGCTCTCTCCCTGAGGCTAGTTGGAACTAATCCACAGTCACAATTGCTCCATCCTATGGGTGGCCAGTCAATGTGGTGCCAGTAATAAAATGTGTAATCAACTTTCACATGTTTTTAGACATTCCCAAATCACTTTGATCATGGCTAACAAGAAAACTGCCATTTCAGTTAATAATCTATAAATTCTCAAGGGGAAGCTTTAGTCCACTCCCCAGCAGAATATTTCACATTTTATTTTAAAAATGGAAACTAACACAATCTAGAAATATATTTATCCTTAAAACATTAGTCAATTTTCCATTATGTAACCTTCATTAATGTGACCTTTTTAAATTGCCATGTCTCACCAGTCCTGGGACCTTGATCATTGAGATTAAGTTGCTTTTGAAAATGTATGTACTTTAGATGGCACTGCATCTAAGTAAAGCGAAAAGTGACAACTTTCGTGATGGCTTCAAACCTGCCTTTAGCAGTGCAACCTGTGGCATTTATTATGGAAAAGAAGATACCAGAGTAAAATCTCTCTAAGCCAAGGGCCACAGCGTTTTAGCTGGGAAGCTATTCTTAAATATCGATCAGTTCCATGCTACAAGTCCCAGTTAACGTGAGTAGTTAGAAGGGTACCAAGAGCAGCATCCATCCAAGAAAGCAACATACAAGAGCTTGTTGAGAGCAGGAAATGATTTAGAGAGGGAAATTTCAGAGATGACAGCTGTTTAATCTAATCAAAATTTCTTTTCTACACCAAGAGATATTTAGTCTTCCATTGGCTCTGATAACGTATCTTAGCAATCTGTAAGGTTTTAGAAGGCTGCTACAGAGACACTTGAGAGCCCAGTTCAAAGATAAGACTCAGTGACATCACTGATATCAGATTAATAGGGAAGAGGAATAGGTATGAGAGGCTGTTGTCTGGGATCTCATCAGAGACGAGAGTCTTAATAACGGTAAATCTAAAAGCTGTGTCTTTTAAACTCAGGCTACGGTATGATCTTCCTTTTTACACTCAGTATTAAAACTTCCCATTCCAAAATAACAGCATGTTCACACACAAACACGCCCATACACAACTGAAACCACTAATATTCTCATAGGCCTTGCTACTTGGAGTGTGGGCTATAGACAGATATGACCTGGGAGCTCGTTAGAAACGCAGAATGTGGAGCCCCACCCCAGACTTACTGACTTAGAATCTACATTTTTACAAGATATCTGGATTATTCTCATACACATTCAATTTGAGAAGCACTGACTTGAAAGCACATTTTAAAAGTTGCACAGCCCTCTCTCATCCTCAAAACCCACGCATCTTCAATTTCAAACCGTTATGAATTTCCCCATTATTGAAGGGTAGTACAGTTTAGTGAGTGGTTAAGAGCAAGGGTTTCCAGAAATTCCCTGTCCAAATGGCCTGAAGCCCGCTTCCAGGGCCAATTTGGGCCTCTTCCCTGGGTCAGTCCTCCTAAGGGTGTGGCTGTCTGGGCAGGGGGCAGGCGAGAGATGAGGCTGCACACACGTTTAGTAAGCCCCTTGTGCTCCTGAATGGAGCAGCGGTGGGAAGGGAGTAGGGCTTGTCCCCAGTTCAGGCCTCCATCTGTACTCTTGCCCAGGCCTTGCATATGTTAGGGAGTATGGTAATTATTAAAAATCAATCTGTGGCTGTAAGATGCTGATTATATGAAATAGAGAGTCTAGTCTTAAAAAAAAAAATGTTTGCAGTTCCTTCCACCCCTCCTCCTACTGCCCTGGTTGGCAGAATCACGGGTGCTAGTCCTGATGCCATGCCCTTCCTTTTCATCTATTTTCTCTGCTTCCATTCACACTCTTGCTAGTGTGGCACCGCCGAGAGCAACGTTTCCTTAGAGACTCACATGGATGCTCGGGCTTCCAGGCTATGTGCCAGAGGAGGCTGACAGTGACACAGAGGGCAGGGTACTTTCCTAGATATACAGGCTCGGCGCCCACTGCCATCAGACTGAGAGCTGAGTACAGCCTAGAATTGGACATTTGTCCTCAAGGGAAGGCAGCGTAAGTGGCTGGTTCCAGAAGAGCCATACTCCACAGTTAAATAGCACGTGCATTGAGAATTTAGAGAAGAATTCCCCCAAGTTCTAGAAGGAGAAGTAAGTGAAAGTAAGTTGAAATACAGCTAATCATCAAAGGAATTTTAAAAATTCCTTGAAAGACATTATGTAGTAAGCTAACCATTTATTAAGAGGTCTTTAAAATTAGCCATTTCACCTAGTTAGAAGATTCTGGAAACATTTTCTGAGCACTACTCACTTTCCTTATACACTATTTTCTTCATCTGGCACCCTTAATTCCACACCTCATCTGGGTCTCTGTTGAAATGGGAAGCCTTCTGTCCACAACAGCCAAACTGTGGAAGGAGCCAAGATGCCCTTCAACAGATGAATGGATAAAGAAGATGTGGTCCATGTATACAATGGAATATTACTCAGCCATCAGAAAGGATGAATACCTACCATTTGCATCAGCATGGATGGGACTGGAGGAGATTATGCTAAGTGAAAGAAGTCAAGCAGAGAAAGTCAATTATCATATGGTTTCACTTATTTGCGGAACAGAAGGAATAGCACGAAGGACCACAGCGGCAGGGAGGGAAAACTGAAGGGGAAGGAATCAGAGAGGGAGACGAACCATGAGAGACTCTGGACTCCGGGAAACAAACTGCGGGTTTCGGAGGAGAGGGGGTGGGGGGATGGGGTAGCCAGGTGATGGGTATTAAGGAGGGCATGTGTTGTGATGAGCACTGGGTGTTATATGCAGCTAATGACTCGTTGAACACTACATCAAAAACTAATGATGCACTGTATGTTGGCTAACTGAACATACAAAAAATAAAAAAAGAAATGGGAAGCCTTCCTAGATTAGCTTAGGTGCCCTGTTGTAAGTGTGCTTAGAGCATCCTGCATTTCTTCTCCAGAGCACCTATCCAGTCTGATTAAATATTTGGCTAATCATATGTTTTAGGTTTGTCTCTCTAAGTAGATTGTAAGCTTCCTGAAGACAAGGACTACGTCTGTATAATTATGTACCTGAAACACACTCAATATATACTTGTTCCGTAAGTTCATATTTAGTAGCTTGAATATAAACTCTGAAAACTTGTATAATAAAACACATCCACCAAAATTTAGAGGAAACTACTGGATCCTAACCAGACCAATTTACTGTTTAGACACAACCAAGGGGATTGTTTATCTCTTTTCCTAAACTATCACAGACCCAAGTAGTAAACTAGAAAGAAAAAGAAGGGAGGAGAACAAAGAGGGGGTGAAAAAAGCTAACTTGAAGGACAGTTTCACAGAGTGAGAGGACAAAACACTACAGATAAAAGAACTGAAAGAACATCACTACAACAACAAAAAGAATGTAACAACGTGGGGCCATTATCAAAGGGGCAAGATATTGCAGAGGGTACCTTTGTAAAATGTCATAATCTCACAATTACTGTGATAATTATACATCTCCATTAGAAAATACAGGAAAACTGTATTCCATATATGTTGCTTAAGAAGGCAGGAAAGTATTTTGAAAGTTTTTAGAAATAAATTATCTGAAAGCAAGTTTGTAGCATAATAAAAATAACAGTATCCGTTGTAATGCATTTTAAAGTTTATAGAGCACTTTACTATATTTTATCTCACTTGATTTTCATAAAAAAAGGAGGGGCTAAACTGCAATTGTCAGAAAAATTTGCTTGTGTGGTATATCATATTCCAGGGTGAAGCTGATAAATTAGGCACTACTGCAATTTTCTCACTGAATATTATTACTGTTTTTATTATTATTATTTAAATATTTTATTTATTTGAGAGAGAGAGAGCATGAGGTAGGGGGAGGAGCAGAGGGGGAGGGAGAAGGACGAGTAGACTCTCCACCTTGAGTGTGGAGCCCGACATGGGGCTCTAGGCAGGGCTGGAGGAAGGGCTGGAGGCAGGGCTTGATCCCAGGACCTGAGAATCCTGACCTGAGGCAAAAGCAAGAGTTGGATGCTCAACCTACTGAGCCAACCAGGCGCCCCTTCTCACTGAATATCCTAAGGAATATTTAGATGTTGATTTTTCTCAAAGAACTGTTGGAAAGAGATTTCATTATGATTTCAAAAAGTTTTAAAATCCAACTTTTTTTCCAATAATGATTTAATGAGAGTTAGACAGCATATTTAAATTAAGTTACCTAAATCTTACAACGGAGGTGCATAAATAATACAGAATAGATCTTATACATATGCAGTAGATGCAAATTTTATTATCCATAATATTTTAAAAGTAGAAATGTCCTGGACATTAACTTATAATTTTACATTAATTATGCCCCTGTATGTTGGCAGTGCTCTTTATAGAATGCTGAATTTTACAAAAACTATACACACTCACATACACCCTCAAAATCACACTTACTTTAAAGTATACTATGAACACAAAAGTATATTTTAAATTTCCAAATGTTGCTAGTATCCAGAATTGCATTTAACTTCTTTTTTGAGATAAAGAATAATGACAACTATGTAAAAAGTACAAAGTATGTCAGAGATGATAAGGAGAACTTGTTGACAGACAAAAGACAGTCCCAGGAAAGTTGTTTCGTCAATAGCAGCTGTTACAGTGCAATATAAAACTGTCTTTGTATAAAATGTTCACTTTATGGTTCCTTCTACAGGAGATCAAAAATTAAATATATGCAGGAATATAATTAGAGAATTAATGGCCAGAGACAATGCACAAAGGGAGAGATTTCCAGGAAAAAAATGTGTTATAAGCAGTTTTTTAATGACTATGCTTTAAAAACAAACCTGAATTATAACAACAATTGTTCTCTTGTTGTGTGGGAAAGGTCACATTAAATAATTCCTCTCTGATTTTATCCACCCAGCAGCATCCACCCAAGCAGGGACAGGTTTTGCTTCTTTGATTTGTTAGTGCAGTTATTATAGCACAACCCTTTCTTTTTATAGTTATATAGGTAATCAAGGGCAAAAAATATCAAATCACTTCTTTGCAATGGTTATAAAGACCAATGTAGGTATCTTCGCATTCTGATTTCAATGTGTGCATTCTTAAATATAATAGAGCTGCTTTCTAGCTCTTTCATTTTGGTTTTCAGACTTCTCTTTCCAAATCTCACCTAGTCAATATTTTCTTTTGTTGTCACGGATACAGCATATACATTCTAAAAGCAGAGACTTGCTTTTTGCCACAATTAGAGGCACATTCAAATCCAATCCGTAGCATTAGGTCTGTTTAGTAAGCTATCGTAGGGTGGTTGACCATAAGGCCAAGAGTTAAGTCACAATTCTTGTGGCTTAGTCGGAACCAAGAATAGGATTCCAGGCCTCTGGGATTAAGCATGGTGAAGCTTTCCATGAGCTTCCAAACATTCTCTTCGGTAACAAATAGTGAACTGCTTGAACTCCAACTGGGTTGTCATATGTTTTATTCATGGACCATCATAGGAGCCGACAAACAGATTATCATGTTTACATCAGGCCTCCTTGGAGAGGGAAATTCTTTAATAGTTGAACTAGCAGGGTCAGTCAGTACAGAGATGCCTGCGGGGGACCAAATAATAAATAAATAAATAAAATAAGAGAAGAAGAAATGAAATCAAACATTGAGAGTTTAATGATGTCCTTCAGCAGTCACTAATCAATGTTTTTATCTCTTGCTGAAAAGGTTATATTCAGGTTCCCTCATTTTAGTAGTTTGTTTATTTGCTTATTCATTTACTTATTTACCTATTACAGGAGTGAGGAGATTCAAAGGGCACAGAAAAGTGCAGAGTCCACAGAAACCACTCCACTGGAGTTGACAAACCTTTACCGTGTCTATTTACGGTAT